CTTTTAAAATGGTTTTTCGGGGGCTTTTGAAGCTGTGTTTTGTGCTTTTACAGCTGTTTTGGGGAGCTTTTAAAGCTGTTTTTTGTGCTTTTAAAGCTGTTTTTTGTACTTTTAAAGCTGTTTTTTGGGGCTTTTAAAGCTGTTTTTTGGGGGGCTTTTAAAGCTGTTTTGGGGGTCTTAACCCTATAATGCCAAATGTGTCATATTTGATACGGTTTCTGAAGTCTTTTGGATCTGAGACTTTTTGCATCATTCAGTGGTAAAAGCTTTGCTCAAACCCCTGTTGTACACATTCAGATATTCCTGATAACAGCCAGTAGAAGACTACACCAAAATATATATTTTTGACTTATTGCACGCTTATTTGATCAAAATAATTTCTGTTTTTTTCTTCATATGTTGTTGAGGGGCCAAAGAAAGACTTCAGACTAAAAAAATCCAATATTCTTCCTATTTTTCATGGATCAGGCTTTAAAGGTTTAACCTCTTGAGGTGATATTTCTGCCATGATATTTCTTTTTACGTAGAACTTTGACCTCTTGGCCTCATAGCACAGGGTTCCCAAATCTTTCAGCCCACGATCCCCAAATTAACGGTGCAAGTTGCTTGCAACCGCACATGCACTATAGGCGTATCTAAACACGAGCTTATTGTCAACACAAAATAACACAACAGCCATATTATTATTTTATTGTAATTTACTCATTCATTTGAACTTAACCACACTTAATGAGATGGATGTGCAATATTATTTGAATTTACTGTTTGATAGTAAGTAGGTAAAATGGTTTTAGACATTTTCAACCAATCGTGTTCTTACTGTGTAATTAAAATGTAGTAAATAAGTCATTTGGACCCTCAGAATCAAATTGCAAAAGCATGTAATTAAGTTTATAAACAAATATCTTAAATCTAATGATAAACCCACTGAGCCTATATGAAGAAAAACTACCTGTACCATGACAGAGTCTAGTTATTATAAACTTATTAGGTCCGACTGATCCCAGTTATCTGGAAAAAAGCAAAAAAATGAACACCAAATAAAAGCTGGGCTCTCAGGAGGTTAAATGTGTTGAAAAAAATCCAACGCCCAGTTCAATGTGAAGGGAAATCTGATTGGGGGGCTCTTTATGGAAAGACGGAAGGGTTTTGTCATCATAGAATATTTTTTCATAGGTATATTGTGTAATTATTCAAAGGGATTTTTAATGGAGAAGGTGTAAATCCAGGACTCCGGGCTGTGGGGTGACACACAGACAACCAAGCGACACATAGAGGTTGGTAGCAGAGATCCACACTGGAGGTTTGCTGGGAAAGCGAGGGGTCAAATAACAAAAAAAAAGACGTCAGGGAGGGAAACTGGAGACACAGGCAACGTCAGGGAGGGATCAGCCTGGGTTACCACTCCCATTGGTTCCTGGCCAAACCCGGAGCTCCATCAGGTCCTCAAGAACCAGCCAGTGGTCATGGCCTATGGTCAATGGTCATGGCTGGAATGGCCGGCTTGCAGTCTTGATTTTAACCCCAGTTAACCCCTTAAAAGCTCATTTTAGATGGTTGCTTATACCAACACAGCCCCATTGATTAACTTGGGACTAATTCTGGTTGAAAGATGGGATACCTGTGCATGTTTGGGCCATCCATGGTTATTCCACCTGCTTGTTAATGTCAAGTGAAGTTTAGAAGTTCATATTTTTTATTTATTTATTTTATTTTATTTTATTTATTTATTTATTCATTTCATTCAATACAAAGAAAATTTTTCATTTCATTCAATACAAAGAAAAATTAATTTAAAAAAATGAAATGAAAGGTAGCAGAAAGAAGAAAATAATCTTATAATATCTGCCCCTTTTTCTCAACTATGGATCAAAACAACAAAAAAATAAAAATAAAAAAATTAAATTGATTTGTCTTATCATATCATTTATGTTTGAGTTAATTTACTAATAGTGCATTTACAATGTTATAAGTTGCATTATTTAACTATTTCCACGATTATGTTGGACATTTATAATTTCATATTTACATATTTCAGTATTTCCTGCTGCATCTTTAAACAGTTAGAAATAATCGGTTGAATCTGTTTTTTCGGATTCCCACTGTTCGCCTCAGTCCAGATTCTGGCATCTCATTGGTTTGTTCAGTCATGTGAGGAAAAAAAAAGAAGTAAGGGATGATGTTCTGAAGTTGTAAAACAGGATAAAGTAGTATCTAAGAATTCACCTGTCTCCATCTTCCTGTTTCTCCAACCACCTCTGATAGAACCCTCACGTTCCATCATTATCGGGGGTTTTAAGATTTAAATCATCCAACTCAGGAAACAGCACCAAACAGGTTTTTACAGCAGGATAAAAGAGTTTGGCAACTCTGCTTTTCTATGGCTGCAGCCCACAGGCTCAAGTCTACTGGTCACCCCACTAAGACGTTATCTTGACCCCATGTGGAACCATTTAAAAGGGAGGAAAATGTTGTCAGGCTGCATAGTTTCAACAATCTTTCCCTTTTTCTCCTTAAAGATTTCCATAAGTTACTCTGTTTGTTCAATTTTTCCATTAATGTAACTACATCCAGCACTTTCATTCTTTATTTTTGCATCTTATGGAATACGTCTGTAGGTGGATACATTAAGATTAATTTTAAAGATCCAGCTTTTAGACTTTAGACTTCATACTGAGCTCTATTTATCTCTTGGAATTGCTCTTTAAAGAAATTCTGATTTATAGCCAGATTCCACTAATGGGAATAAAAGTGCTTTGATAATTTCTTGTTTCCTTTAGTCTGTAATGCACCTTTGTGTATGCTGAAAATCAGCACTTTCAAAAAGATCCCCGGTCCTCAAAAAATCACCAAAATGACCACATCTGGATTTTAATTGGCTTGAATTAGAATGTTCTTCTTATATAGAAACGATCAGACATTACATTTGCTATGATTTGATGCTATGCACCTAAAACTGAACTGAAAACATCTTTGCAAAATGTGTCTATCAGGGCCTGTACATGTCTTTGCTTTCACATTCCTTTTGAATAATTTCCTCGTTAGAATAGTGGTCAGTATTCCTGCCTGTCACATGGGAGACAGGGGTTCAATTCCCTAATGGGGATATAAATGCGTGTTTATTTCTGCTTTTTAAGTCACTAAGGATGGAAGCATCTGCTAAAAGCATAAACATAAAAACTAAGCTAAACAGTTAAGTCCAATTTAATGACTTCCGAATAATAACACAAATATTCTACTGCTAAAGTTTAAAAGACTTTTGGAGATATAAGTGCAGTTGGTCATTTAGAACACCTCTGGCAAACCAAAAGCATCCAGAAAAAACGCCTTGCACTGAATAAACCGTCGCATTTATTATTAGAAAGTCGGAGGTCAGGCTGACAAAATGAAAAAGCTAAGAGAAAGAAAAACTAATTACGTGCTTCCTTTAGCCCTTGAATCTGCGGCTTCTCTGCTCTCTCCTGCTGAAACTCATTTATTCAAACACTGTCAATGAGTTCTCCAGGCTGAGGCCATTATGAAAGTCAACGTGAAGTTTTTATTTGGTTGAATCAATTCGGATGGCCGTGCCATAATGTCTTTTTTTTTTTTCAAAAACGTGAAAGGAGTAAAAAAAAAAAAGTTCGTGATGAGGACATTGAAATGTTTGAACAAAGTGGGATGAGCGGACATCTCTCCTTCTTTCTTTCGTTCGTCCTCCTCCTCTTTCCTCTCCCCGTCTTTGTCCTCAGCTGAATGGCGAAGAATCCGCGCTGGCCTTGAAGGCAACACGTTTCTGCCAGACTGTCTACGGTTAGAACCGCTCACTTAGACACGAACACACACATTCGAATCCTTTCTTCATCCCCAAAAGCATTGAAAACCTCTCTAAGATTTTCCATTTGCACTCAGTTAGCCTCCGTATTTCATCTGGCTTTTGCTTTTCATCTTTGTTTTATTAAAGTCCGACGTTGGTGCAGGTTTGTGCGATATTTTGTGTGTTTCCTGGACAAGTTGTGTTGTTGGAGCAGAAGAGTGTGTTCCATCTGAGTTCTGATGTCTTTTTTTTTTTCATATTTCAAAGTTTTTTAGGTTTTTAGGTTAGATTGACAATAGCAAGAGCACAGAAAAACTATTGTGAACGCTTAAAAAGGGAATGATTATTTAATTTATAATGGAAATGATACAAAAGAAGATCTAAAAGAAGTGACAAAAACAAAGTAGAAGCATAAGTTCAACTTGACATTTCTGAGTTAAGCATTTTTGAAGATTGCATTATAATTATATTCTGAAAATATACCTGTTTGCGTGGAGGTTAATGACAGATTTAATGAACACAAATCTCATCGAGCTTATTCGCAGGTAAGATGCTGGAAAAGAAACCTGTTGTCATGACAGCAAAATCTTATCAGCCAGCTTTGAAAACATCTCAGAAAGTTTTCAAGTTCCTAAAGTTCTCTTTTCTCTGTTTAAGTAGAAAAATTCTGAGAGCCAGTTGCCTCCGAATGTATTTTGTTCTTTTAACATTTTTCTGATTTTGTTGACTTGACCCACAAAACACAGAGTTACACAGGTGCAATAATCTGATTAAACTAAAATACATTTAGTAAAAACGGCTCAATGGAACTTCTGTAAATCACAGATATTTGACATTTTGTCTTGGTACTTCCACATTTTTGTTTTTAAATGTGATAAATGAGTTTCATTTGGTCAGGTTTCTATTCTCTATAATTTCCCAAATGGGTTGGGCTCTTATGGGTTAAAATAAAGATTCCATATAATGCCTTTGCGTAAATGGGTGCAAACTCGTAAAGCTAAATTCAAACGAATGATTTGATTATCAATCATTGTTAAGGAAATCTAACTGAAAAGTAGTCGGATCAAATTATGTTGGTTGAATTTGTCATTTTGGGCATAAGACATTGTTTAATAAATTCCATCCTGAGCTTATAAAAAAAAAAAGCCTGAGATGTAAAAGCCATTTCTGTAAAATCTGAAAGCTTTCCAGTGTCTCGGGCATGATGAACTGTACGGGTGGAGCTCTTTTCCAGAGTGGGAACGTCGGTTTTCCCCTTTTTGCCTTTTGTGGATTGAGTGCATCCAAGCTAATGCTAAAAACTGTTTTATTTCCTGCTTAGTCCCCACAGTACAGCTCAAGTGGCAGCTATGAGAGCGTGAAGATGGACTTGGGCGCGGAGGACCTGACGCTGGGGCGCCACGGCAGCCAGGTCGCCCCCGACGACGACGACGATGACCACGACGACCACGACGACAACGACAAGATCAACGATGCCGAGGGCGTCGACCCCGAGAGATTAAAGGCCTTCAACGTAAGTCCGGAGCTCACGGAATCAGTCCTGATCTCTCTGGGAAACAATAGATACATTTCATCATGTCTATGAAGAACACTGAGCAGGTGGTCGGCCATTTTGGCTCTAAAACCCTTCAAGATCAATGGTCACCCCCATACAGACTCCTCGTCATTAAGCGGTTAAAACTAAATTCGAGGAAATAAACCAATCATGACATCCATTAAACACCATCTACAAGTTTGTTCTGTACTTATGAAGTAACTCATATTCTCTATGGTGATCACTTCTATTGTTCTAATATAGCTGGATCCTCTAAAGCAGTCCACAACTTTAACCCTATAATGCCAAATGTATCATATTTGATACATACTGTTTCTGAAATGTTTTGCTTCTGACACCTTTTGCATAATTTAATGGTTCAAAAATTTCGCTCAAAATCCTATTTTACACAATCGGATACACCTGATAACAGGGGGCAGAAGACTACACAAAAATAATCTCGACTTATCGCATTGTAATAAATTATTAATATTGAAAATGTATTTCCGTTTTTTCTTTTTACATATTTTTTTAAAAGGCCAAATAAGGAATTCGAGCAAAAAAAAAGTAAATTTCTGTTTTGTTTTATTCTTGGATCAGGCTTTAAAGGATTAAACAACCGCTCCGAACCAAAAAATGATTTATTGTTTCCACGGAACAGAAGGATTTTTTTTAACCTTTATTTAACCAGGAAGTCCCATTGAGATTCAGGATCTCTTTTTCAAGAGAGACCTGGCCAAGGTATTAGCCAAACCACAGGAAGTTCATCCATATTTACAACATATTACATTTTTCATAACAAAATCAGAGCAGTATGTTAAAACACATTGAGCATCTCAAGGAAAACAAGCCCATTATGGAACGGATTATGGAAGCAGTGGTCCTGGTCCGGAGCTCCAGCCTTGGGGATGGTGTTAGAATCCTTGGGAGGGTAGTTGGTGGTGGATCTTCTGGATGGTTCCAATGGACATAGATTGGTAGGCCGGTGGAGACAGAGGCAGGAAGGCTGGAAGGAATCCAAGGTTCTGGACTTAAACAAGGAGCACGGATTTATTTGGTTCGTTATCCCTAAGAAACGTACGAAAACTTTGAAATTGGACTGAACCACACTGAGAGAGGAGAATCATCTGGCAACTGCCACATGGAACTGATTATTTTTAGGGCTGCTCCTGATGAGGGTGATCGGCACCAGATGGATCCACTTCTGATCTCGACACCTGGAGGAGATTAGAGGGAAAACGGAATACCACAACTCTGCAGACCTAACGATATGATATTAAAAAAAAAAGAAAGATCCTTTTATTATTACCTGCTCAGAACCAGAATCCAGGCAGAACATATACTACAGAAAAAGGATGGATGGGGCGTAGTTCATGGTCAAAGATGGTCAAACTCTGCTTTCTCAGCTATTGTTTCTCCATTTCAGTCTATTTTGAAGCGTAATAACCAGATATCTGCCCAAAATCTACTGTAAAATTAGCACTGTGTACCCTGTACAACACTTTGATAAATATTGTATATGATATGGGTTAATATTACCCGTAATGATGTTATACATCACATCTATTGACACAATAGATATTATTCTGTAGAATATTCTGGGGTTGTGGTGGTTAGAACCATCACCTCATAGTAAGAGGGTTCTGGGTTCAAATCCCTGGGGGAACCGGGACCCTTCTGTTTGGAGTCTGTATGTTCTCCCTGCATCTGCCTGGGTTCTGTCTGGGTTCTTCTCCCAAACCTGCATGATTGGACATTCCAAATTGCCCTTAAGTGTGAGTGTGTGTGGTTGTTCGTCTTTGGACTGGGGAGTGTCGCCCATTGTATACTGGGATAGGTTCCAGTCCCCCTGTGACCCCGTTTTGGGAATAACAAGTTCAGAAAATGCATGGATGGATAGATAATATTCTCTATCATTATACCATATATGCTATACCATTATTATTACCATGTACTGGTAACAATAAGATTACCATCATTACCTCACCCTGCCTAATTTCAATTTGATGCACAGCAGTGATGGTTACACAAAAAAAACAACTTAGAAACTTGTTAGAAACATTGTTCCTACTGAAAATGTTCTCCGTATATGAATGCTAAACGCTAATGTCTATGAAATGGTTACTTTTACAAGGGTGAAAAAGCTGTGTCTGTCTTGTTTTCTGCAGATGTTTGTGCGATTGTTTGTGGATGAGAACCTGGACCGGATGGTGCCTATTTCCAAGCAGCCAAAGGAGAAGATCCAGGCCATCATCGAGTCCTGCAGCAGGCAGTTCCCCGAGTTCCAGGAGCGCGCCCGCAAGCGCATCCGCACCTACCTCAAATCCTGCCGCCGCATGAAGAAGAACGGCATGGAGGTAAAGAACCGTTTCTCAGCGTTAGAGTTCTTTTATTGTTCAAATATTTTTCATAGGGTTTTTAATTGTACAAAAATGTAACAAGTCTCCAAACAGCAACCCCAACATAACCAGTAATAAAGTGACAATAATACCAAAAATAAATCAAATAAAAAATATAAATCAAATGAAAAAAGAACATAATAAATAAATAATATAGAAAAGATAAAAAAATAATAAAAACAAAATGCAAATATAAATACACTAATTTTGTTTTGTTTTTTTAATGGAGGAAATAAAATGGAGGTAATAGAACTGTTTGTCAGCATTAGAGTTATTTTATTATTAGTATTTTATCATTTGCAAACGCAGATGATAAAAGCTTGATTTGACTAAAGAGTTGAGTTAAACTTTTGGTCAAATGATACCCCTCAGGATTTCTAACTGTTATATTTAACTTAAAAGGCAGAACACTCATGTCTTTGGTATAAATATCGCCAAATACAACACACTCTCAGTCTTTTGAAGGTTTAAAATAACATTTTATGTTGTATAATCTTATTCTAATTAATAAATTAATCAATACTGGGGTAAAAAAACAAGTCCAGTTAAAGAGAGGATTAAACAGATCCATTTGGCTATTATGCTATTTTAAATGCGCCAGAAAAAGTACACACAAAACCCAAAACCACAAACTATTGGCCACTAGAGAATTGATATGAAACCACAAGAGCCCAGACCTATTTTCACTAAATAAAATAGAGAAATAGAAAACTGACCAAATAAACCACA